TGTGTTAGTCTCCCACTACTGCTGTGTTTCTGTCTGTTTCTCTTGTGTTTCTAACGGTTTTTGCTTTATGTGTTTCAGTATGATGTTATTTGGCAAGTCATCTTTTTATACTTAAGGGAAAAAATATTTTCCTTTAAAGACTTGTATACCTTTGTGGATTTTATCTGATTTTGTTGTAAAAGAGTTGTTTATGTAGAAATACATAGTTCAGTAAAATGTTTGTGTCTGTTTTTCAGCGAACAAAAATCTTTCAGAAGCCCTTTGTGTATTAAGTTATTTTGGAAACCCTGGATCTCCCCAGGGGTAGGTTGATGTTTTCCGGGGCGACTTCCTGAGCCAAAGCATGGATGGTTGAGGTACAGAAGCCTTTGGAACACAATGAGGGTTTTTGAGGATGCCAGCACTTCTGATTCCTGCTTTGGGGCAGCCCCGTGCTTGGTATGCTTAGAGGACACCTGCCCTCCAGTCTGTCACATTCCGCCTAGATGGGGCCGATACCAAAGCTTTTCTAAACCCAAGAGACCCTTTTCTCCTGCAGGGCTGCCCTTCTGAGCAGAAGGCAGCAGAGAGTATATGCTTGTGTTCCTGGCTATTGGGGGAAAAGCTAATCTCAGAAACTCATTCTACCAGAAAAGATTTTTCCAGAGCTATTTGAGCAGATTATTCAGATGGCAAAGTCTGTGCCAGGCAGAGGACCAACTTTTCCCAAACATGTGGAGGAGGTGTGAATCTCAACGCACAGCTCAGGAGGGAAAGAAATACCACCTTCTCTATTTTCCCTTCATTCAAGTAAATTTCTGTTTTGAGCCTTCGTTCTACCAGGCTCATGCACTTTGATCTCAGTCAGTCCTGGGACCTCCTTTTCTCCGGAAGTGAACCTCTGAAGGCTGGGGCCTGCATCTTTCCAGGATTGTTGGGGGAAGGGGTCCGTATCTGTTGAGACGGCCCCTGTTCCTGCTCCGCCCTCTCACTCCTCTACCTCTGTGTCAGGCTTCCACCCTCGGGAATACCTGAATTGCTCCGATGTTCTGGTGCTGCAGACATCTCCCTGAGGCTGTCCTAGCCCCCGACTGCCTAGGCCCTCTGTGCAGCCATCCCCTGTGTGACAGCAGAGGTTTGGGGTGGAGGGTGATTTAACTTGAAGGCACTGCTAGGTAAGCCGGTGCATGTTTGCACGAGAGCCCACTACTGAGTGGAAGTGACTCTGGCCCGCTGCCTGCTTGCTTTGCCGGCAGTCTGCAGCCTTGGGGGAGGGCTCTGGCGCCCAGCGCTGCAGGAACCACACCAAATCAGGTGCTATGTTTTCCTTCTCTGGGGCATTTGGGAAAGTTGACCTCGTTCTTTTGAAATAATCCTCCCATGACTGAAGTTCTCCTTCCCAGTTCTTGTCTTTCCCCAACCTCTCCTCCCCCTCCTCCTCCTGCCGTGTAGTGTGGGGGTCTCCAAGGATCCGACCTGGATCACCTTCCCGTGACACGCTTACCCCCACCACCGCCTCCAGTCTCTGGGACAGAGCCAGCTCCTCACATTCCCCTTTGTCCAGTGCTGCCCCCTCCCCCACCGATCCCTGACCGTGGTGCCACCGCCCCCCAAGTGTCAGCACCATCTTTATGTCCCTGCCCTTGCAGCTGGTACAGTGAGCCACAGTCTCGGGCTTCTTCCTCTGGTCATCCTGATCTCTTCGCTTATCTCTGCCTCTTCTCACCAGGCTGTCCCTGTCCTAGTCCTGATCTGCTCACTCCAGGATCTTCTCCACCTTCGCCACCCTCTTATGTAAAGCTGCCAGAGGCCTCTTCCTATAGCTTGGGTCAAGTTCTGGCACTGTCTCTCCATCCTCCCCCGTGAGGTCACACCAGCCACCTCCCTGGTCCTGCCCAGGCCTTGCTGTTGCCTTCTCTCTGTGGTTTTTTGTTCCTGATCTTCCCCTGCCTGGAATCTTTCCCCTCTTCCAACCTGAGCCCTCTTCTTAGACCCAGCTCAAAGGCCTGGGCCCTCCCGATTAAAATCACCCACTCCAGGGGACTTCTCTCATGCTTCTTATATAGCTCTTCCCACCCGCACGGCCCTCAAATCACTAATTCGTGTGTTCATTTAACAGATATTTCTTGAGCCCCGTTATGCCCCAGGCCCTGGGAACACAAAGGTGAAAAGACACAGATACTGTCCACAGATGTGTTAGACTCCGGTGAAGAGGCGAGATGATACGTCGCAGGTGCTAATGGAACTCAGCAGACGGGGGATTTGTGAGGCTCCCCTCAAGCAGGGCTCTCACAGGTGACCAGGAACGGGAGTTCAGGGGACACCCAGCTTCTCCAGAGCTGGGGTGAGCCCTGGCCACTCTGAGGACTTTGTGAGACAACAGGTTCCAGGGCCTGGAAGGAACCCGCAGTGACTCTAAGGATGCCTGCCTCCCCCTCCCCTTGCCACAGCCCCCTCATTTCCTGACTGACTTGTGTGTATTCGTGTTTTTCTAAGGCTGGTCTGCACACCAGCTGCTTCAGAGCTGTCTGGGGTTTCCCAGAAAAACCTCCTGGATTAGCACCGTTGTGGGGCGGGCCTGGCAGTGTGCGTTTTAGCAAGCTCCTGTGCTAGACAAGATGATGGCTCCCCAAAGACGTCCACACCCCAATCCCTGGAAGCAGTAAATAGATTACCTTACATGCCAGGAGGGGCCCTACAGGTGTGAGTACAGTTAGGGACCGGCAGAGAGGGAGATTATCCTGGATTTTCTTGGGAGGGGGGCAGTCTAATCACATGAGTTCTTAAAAGCAGAGAACCTTTCCTGAGTGGGATCAGAAAGAGATATGGTTATGAAGAGTCGGAGAGATGCAACGTTGCTGGCTTTGAAGATAAACAAAGGGGCCACGAGTCAAGGGACAGAGGCAGCCTCTAGACGCTGGACAAGGAAACAGCTTCTCCCCTGGAGCCTTCAGAAAGCCACGCAGCCCAGTGAGACCCATGCCAGACTTCGGACCTATGGAATGGTAAGGTAATACATTCGTGTTGTTTTCAGCCCCTAAGCTTGTGGTAATTAGTTGTGGCGGCAGTGGAAACCCAGTACACTCCTCACGTGAGTTTACGTATCAGTGAGAACCTCTGTTGTGCAGATGGACTCAACTACATGGTTTCACACGATGGGTGATTTCCGGCTCCTGCTGCTGCCCGCTTGATTCCCCAGTTCAGATGCTGGAGAGGGAACAAATAAATAAATGAGTAAGTCTGATCGGCCCAGCTTATGGTTTTTCACTCCAGGATAGTCCATAGGATGTTTCTAGTTATGGACTGGCTCTCCTAGAATCCACTTTGGCCAGATGGCCTGTCTTGGATATGAAACATGGCCAGGGAAGGCTGCCCTCATAGCCAGGGCTGTAGACTGGGAAGGCAGTGGGGCTGGTGTCCGGGACAAGGTGCAGTGGTCGTATAGGAGAACAAGGGGGTCAGGGAAGACTTAGGAGAGGAGGACATGATGGGGATGAGACTGAAGGATGGATGTGGATTTCCCAGGACAGGGCCGTAGAGGGCTGGGACATCCCGGGCACTTAGGCTCAAGAGAGCAGGGCCGTCCAGGGGCGGGCAGCAAGCAGCCTGGTGTTGCCGTGGTGGGGGAAGGGGCAGGCGGAAGCAGCAGCTGGTCTCTGAGGCTCTCTGAGGGTCTGGTACCATGCTGAGGGCCAGCCTTTACCGGAGTGGGTTGGAGAGCGGAGAGGGACTTCCCCTGGGGGAGAGGTGGGGTTGACTGGCAGCACTTGGAAGGTGGGTTGGAGAGGCTTGAAGTTAGACAAAGGAAGCAATACCTGTCCCTCTCCTTGGCTCTGAATTCCCTGAGGCCAGAGTCTGGACTCAGTTCAAGTCTTGGCTGGAAGAAGGGAGAAACGAGGGAGAGAAGTTTCCAGAGGAGGAGAAGTTTTCATGCACTGAAGACAGTTGGGTAAGGAGTTTTAATTGGGAGAACTCTCTTGAAAATGATCCTTTTTTGAAGGCTTCTTATCTTTGGCAGCACTTAGAAAGCAAATTCTGAGAATTATCTGAGCCCGAATAAGCTAACTGGTATCTCAAAATACTGAAATTACAATAATTACAATAAAAATACCAAATTGCAAAATAAGCATTTCAAAGTCCAGCAAAGCTCTGATTTTGCCATTTTTAAAAATACCGAATTCTTTCTAGAGATAATTTTAGTGCTGAACTTGGCCTGTTGGAGGTGGAGGCGGTGGCCTGGGGCACAGCCACGTTACCTGCCTCTGGGATTTGTGAGCGGCATGGCAAGCTGCCAGCTGGGGGTGGGGGGGGGAGGGTGTCCTCCTGTGCAGCACCCTGGGGAGCTGAAAAAAGGAAAGGGAGCAGTGGGGACAGAGGCCACTGCAGGGTCAGGGCACCAGGGCCTGGGCCCAGGGAGCAGAGAGGCACCTCCGTGCACAGGAGCTGGATTTGGGTCGCATCACTTGAGGTCAGGGAAGGGCGGACACTTGATGGACCCGGGGGGTAACCTGGCAGTGGCCCCAGTGGAGCATCTCCAGCTGTGCGTGGAGGTCCAGGCTGCAGTCGCTGAAGAAGGACCAGACCCCTCCCAGCTCTGCCAGCTGAGGCCCCTCAGAATCAGCCAAGAAGAAACTGTAAGAACGGTTTTGGTTTATCACAGCTTTTCTTTGAAAACAAAGGAGGGTCATTCATCTTGTTCTGTGGAAACTCAGGCTTGCCATGGCTGGAGTGAGGGTGATGAGGTTCATGGGGATGCTTTGGACAATTTGAGAAATGAGTAGATGGCCTTGTATTGGTCTTTCCCCCTTTCCTAATTTTAGCACAGAGCAAGGAGGAGAAATGGTTCCAGCATGAGACTTCAGTTCCTGAGGGGAACAGCACTATTCCCCCATCCTTAGTATTCGCTTAAATAAACATTTACCTGAAATCTTATTAAAAACTTTAAACCCACCCAAAGCAGGGTCGGCTGTGTTGATACTACATTCCGTTTCCTCACAAGTGACACTGATGCATTATAAAGGGTTCTTTATTACAAATTTTTATAGTGCTTGATACATAAAATACATTTCATTTAAAATATTATTTTATTTGTTTTGGGGGGGAAGTAATTAGGTTTTATCTTTTTTTAATGGAGGTACTGGGAATTGAACCCAGGACCCTGTGCACACACTCTACCACTGAGCTATTTAAAATAGCTCCCCCCCTCATTTAAAATATTAAAGATAATTCCTGCTTATAAGCAATTTATTCTGATAATTGTTAAAATAACGTTCACATTCAAACCTTTAAATCCAAGGAAACCGCTACACACACTTGAAAGGAACGGTCAGTAGTGCTGTTTACCACAGTAGTATAAACGTTTTTCAGAATAAGGGAATGATTCTAGACTATCCACGGTGAACAATAAATACCACTTTCTTGTGCCAGCGGTGCTCACTGTGGCTTCTTAGATCCCAGCTCCAGTTTGGCGTGTGAGAGTCTCCACATCTCTGCTTCCTTCCCTGACTTTAAGAGCCGCGGTGTTAAACACAGCAGCAGCGTCACACACAGAGCCCTGCTGATCTTTTGGGGTGTTAGGTGGCCAGTCTACCAGCACCCCTTTCATAGGCTTTCCCAGAAGGGCCTGGGGCCCTGGAGAAGAGACTAGTGGTCCCACTCGCCGGGGTTCTGCTCGTTGCCATCGTCCTCTCCTTCCTCCTCCTCCGAGTCAGCAGACACTCTCTTGATTCTCTGGAGCGCCGCCTTGATGCTCTTCTCTAGGTCGCTGGTTGCTTTGTTGCTGGAGCTCCGGCCAACGTCAGGGTGCACTTTCTTCAGTTTGACCCCCTGCCTTATGGCAGCCAGAATGTGCTCGTTGACTGGGGCGCGGGGCGGGGACGGGGCAGGTGCTTGCGCCCTCTGGGGAGGGGCTCTGCTCTGCCGTAAGGAGGCCAGCACTTCATCCATGGATCCTGAAATTGAGTACACAGAGCCCGGAGTCAAGACATCATACTCTTTCTCCCCGAGATGCCAAGACATTTTTGTGCGAGTTACATGTGGTAAGTCACATCAGTTAACGCCCTGATACAAACAGGTGATCATCATTCCATAAACAAACGCTCTGATTATCCGCTAGGAAGGTCAACTGTCAGAGCTCCCTGTTTGAATCCAGGATAGTTTAATTGCTAGTATTGCACCTTGACCACTCCATTCCCACTGCTGTTCAAATCCATAGCAACTCACAGGCACAGCCAGCAGTCAGCACAGCTTTTGTGAGTGTGACTGCTCTCCAGGACACAGGTGTTATCTTTTCGTGTGACCCTGAAGAGAGCTGTGAATACCTGGGGTGTTAAGTAATCCAAACCAGTGTGCCTCTGAAATGGTATCTCCTCCATTTCCCATCCCACTTAAACTTTTTTTTAATGTACCCCATTGTGTTTCTCTAACTTCTGCCTTGGATGTTAGTCAGTGATGACTTGTTCTGTGACAGGTTCCACACATGAAAAGGCTTCAAGTAAAACTTTCATCAGTGGCTCAGGGAACCTGGAGGGGGTGGCAGTGGCACACCTCTTTGTATAGAGTGCGTTCAGTTCCACCTTCATTACCCTGTGGTGACTTAACGTGTTCTATTTTTGAGGGTGTGAAGGGATGTCAAAACACAAATTAGATCAGAGTTTCAAGGCCTTGGTGAGGAGAAGCTATTTTTTAAACTCTGGCACCTTGAGACGCCTGCAGAAGGGGGAGTAAAATCTTTTACTACCTGCTGGGGACAGGGGCGTGACCGTGGCCACCAACTGTGAGAGATCTTCCAGCGGAGGCTTCGGGATGAATAGTCGTCTCTAGCTCAGGACTGAAACGCCATGCTACGGCGAACAAACTAACCTTGGATTTTAACCTGTAACTTGTCATTACAGTTCCCTTCTAGGAGTAAGACAAAGTTTCACTGCCGAAGGGTGTTTTATGGTGCTAACTCACACTTTCTTGTTCTTTTCAGTGAAATGAGCCGTGTGTGTGAGTTGAACAGGGCTCCCCACACTGTGAGCGCTACACCAGGCTAGGAACGCGGCGCCCCAACAGAGACCTGCCACGTCTAGACCCAGGCATGTGAGCTCTCAATTTCACTTACACAGTGTTGCTACAGACCCTGTGGAAATGAGCTATCTGGTTTCCACTTAATAGTGTGGACATGTTCATTTGTACCTGGTTCTAGGTACAGGGGAACCTTGAACTCAGAATAGCCAGAATACACATTAACCAGAACCACAATTTGGAACTGTTATATTGCTACAATTCACATCACCTATCACATACCCTTCCCTGCATGTTCTAGGTGGAGGTACTCAAGCATAGTCTTTATAACAAGCGTGTACACAGCATTTTGACTGGATTTATCTATCACACATGCAAATACACCCCAAAGCAGTGGGCTCTGAGTCTGGGCGGATTTCAGCCAGTCTCCTTCATAGTCAATGTCTAAGCTATAATTAGAATTATAGCCCTCATTAAACAAAGAAATATTCAAGTATATTCAGCATACTATACTTGCAAAATGCAAATAGCTATCCACTGACTTTTGGACCCCTCAGTTTTAGAAAGATTTCCCACAGCAAGGTTTCTCAGTCTACCATTCGGTCTGCAAGAAGAGCCTTCCATATTCTAACATTCCTCCAAGATAATTCACAACCAATATGCTGCTTGAGATGCAACAATTTAATTCTGTAAAGGACTCAGAGATGCAACAGTACGCTTAATTCAAAGGGACACTGAAGCATATTCCAATGGCAGAAACCAAACACCACTGATTCTTTAACAGCCTCAGAGATCTCAAGTCATGTGACCATTCAATGTACAGAGGTGTTTCTTCAAGAAGAGTTAGCATTTATCAAACTCAGATTTAGGCTATGGTAACTTTGCAATAAAAGAGTAAATACTTAAGGCAACAAATACTGGAATATTTTAAGATTGTAGAGAATTCTGAAAAAGATTTGAAGATAATGGCTTCTAAAGCTTGAACGTTTCAACCACCCTTGGTGAGCAGGCACAGCTCAGCGGATTACCTGGGCAGGTAAAACTGTCTGAGGAACCAGGCGGGCTCTCAGGAGGCAATCCACACACTAGAGGAAGTGGCTGATCTGAAGTCCTGAAGTGTAAATTCCGATGACGTGCAGATTGAGAAGAAAAGGGCTGAGCAGGGAGGGGCGGCGGTGGTGGCGGTGGTGGTGGTGGTGGTGGAGGAGGAGGTGGAGGAGGAGGTGGTGGTGGTGACAGTGACAACTGCTCACTGGATCTGGGGTGTGTTTGGTCACCAGTTGGAACAAAAGTCTGGACAGGGATGTTTCTAGCACAGTCTTCACGCTCAGGAGTTGTCCCATTACTAACTTCAGATAAGGGAGCATTTCCGGTTTTCCTGGAGGACGGATGAATGACTGCTGCTGTCGTCTGAGACGTCAGCGAGGATGTCTGCTGGGGAAGTCCACCTGGCAGCTTTGGAGCTACAGGTTGTAAGCGAGAGGTCTTTAATACAGACTGACCTGGACATCTCTGAAAATGAAAAACTGCTGTGAGAAACTTGCCACAAATGCAAACCGATCAACATGCTGAAACTTCCTATAAATAAATGAACACTGAAGAGTCTCTGTGCATGGATTGTTCTAATTCACAAAGTGATTCCTCCTCTGGGCAGCCACCCTTGCTACTCAACCTATACTAAGGAATAAGCATGTATATCCTTTGGTATACACTTTCTCTTAGTAAAGATGTGAAAGGATACAGAGGAAAACATTCATATTTTTAGTATGAAAAATCAGAAATTCTAAATAGCAACAATAGCTGAAAAAAATTATGGTGAATTGAGTTTAAGTATTAGGCAGCCATGAAAAAGCATAAATAGTACAAAGTCTATGAAACATCCTTAAAAAATGCAGATGACGCAGTGTTAAATATATAACCATGTAAAAACAGATCTATGAAGAACACACACCAGCAGGGTGGACCTTGAAGTGACAGTTAAAACAGGAATTATGGATGGTTCTCTAATTTTTAGGTTTAGAATAAATTTTGTAATTTTAAAATGAGAGTTAAGAAAGTTCTGATCTCTCACATATTAGTTTGCTAGAGAAAAATCTAATCCTACAAAGAAACTAATCTTGAGGGGTGTATATGTCCATGGCCAAAAAAACTGCAATTTAAACCAAGTTGAGGTCAACTTGTTCCAGTTTGTTGAGAGCACAGGCAGCCTGATCCTGTCATCTGCATACCATCTTCACACTGTCTACACTTGACAGTTTGTCCCTGCTCTGGCTGGTTTGGGCTGGACTTGCATCCCTCAGACTCCTTCCCGTACAATGACTCTGTCCCACTGGTCAATATCTTCTGCTGACAGCTGACCGACAGGAGACTGCCCACCTCGTTCATCTGGTATTCATGTAGCTCCCCTTCAATTCACTCCCTACTTCGATTCACACCCAGGCCCCTACCCCAGATGATCAGAATCTCTGGAGGTGGCGTCTGGGCATGAGTACTTTATTCCTAGTATTTTTGTTTTTTATTTAAATACTACAAATAATGGCATTTGGGGAACATTTTATGTTCCAAGTTATCTGTTCCTAATACTTTACGCTTTTTTCCTAGGATGGGTGATCGTCATCTGTTTCTCCAGAAAAACGGAGGAGAAGCAATTATTTCCAGAACTCACCTCTTTAAATGCTCTCAATCGCTGGAGTGTTTTTTGGCGTTCTTGGTTTATCCATTCTTTTTTCTTTTGCTCCTCCTCTTTTTTCTTGTCTCTTTTCTAGATTTAAACGAACATAGATGTGTAAACTTCTCAGAAGTCTTGAGAAAGAGATAGGGACCATAACCTGACGTTATCGCCTCCCCTCCAGCCCCGCACTGCTGCGTCTGCCACCTAGGCTGCAGGGCCGGGCCACAGCCTCCTCAGGATCAGGGCTGACAGGGCAGTGGAGCTCCACGTTCCACGAACCTAAGCCAGAGTGTCACATTATGCAAATATAAAACATTTTCCTTCCACCACTCACCCTCTGAACAATATGATGCTGATGAAAATTTTTTATACTTTCTTCAGCCTGTTGCAGTCTGAGTCGATGATTCTCTTTGCATCGATCCTGGTGGAATAATACAATTTCATCGCTCTGTTTTTTTCTTTATTTACATGGTTATACATTTAACACTATGTGGTTTTTAATATTACCATGGGCTATAGCATAAGAAGTTTAAAAACAGCACTGCACTTGGGATGCAGTAAAGGGCATTTAGTAACAGGAGTTACGGCATAGCTCAGTGGTACTGCCTGCCTCCTCCACGGTCGTGGGCTGACTGGCTGCTTATGGGAATCACTTGTTCCCGGTCAGGAGGGCCACGGCTGTGATTTGATGCTTTGAGAGATGAAAAGGCAAATCCTCCAACCAGGTGGAAGTGAGAGGACATACGGGCAGTCCCCCATTCTTAAATGGGATGTGTCCTAAGAATCTGTTACAATGCAGTTGTTTCAAACACATTTCCCCATAACGTTCTAAATAATATTTCCAAACATAACCTGCGTAAGTACATCCAACCTACAATACCTAAAAAATTGTATCAAAAACTCTATCTCAATTATGCTTAACCATTCTTAGAATGTTACCTTTTTATGTAATCATGGAGTTTTTCAAAATTAAGAAAAAAATCACTCACCAAATATAAAGATTGAAATAAGCTGAATAGTATCTCTGACATTTTATACTCAACAATTTACAGTAAAATTAATTTTAGCACTTATTATAGCTGATCAGAAGTTTCTACCTACTATGATTTTTAAAATACCTGTATATATAACAGGCATTCAATAAATAGTTGTTGAAAGAATTCATTAAAAGCTAGAGATTACAATGAGTGCTTAAATCCAAAAGGAAAAGGTATCTTTTTAAGAAGAAAAATTTAAATATATTTTAATTGTAGCCACTGATAGCTACATAAACATACACAAAAGTAATCACTGATAAAAGCCTTATTTTCAGTACCTCTGTATCTCTCACAAAAGAAGAACCCCTCGGAAGAGGTAAGGGAAGAAGGCTGCCCGGGGCGCTCCTACCTTTCTGTTCCTGAGATAGGCTCTTCTGGCACAGATCCTGCCCCGCTTAGACTCCAGCTGCTGGCACCGCCGGCTGAGTTCCTTCACCTCCAAACTCTTATCATCCTGCAGCCCCAGGACATGATCAACGGCTTTAAGTTCCTCTGGACTTTCACACGGATCGTAATAGACAACCTCATCCTGTTTATCTAGAAACATATTAATGATTTTTTAAAAAACGTTTTATTATGAAAAATAATGCATGCTTTTTTTTAATATAAGGAAAGTGAAAGATCCTTGTAATCCCACCACCCAGGGAGAACCATGATGAACATTTATGTACATATGTATACATGTGCACACACACGCACAACGTATATAGCTTTACATGTCAATAAACAGAGGCCTTAGAGAAACTCTTCCATGTGATGGAAATGTAATTTTAATGGCAACACAGTATTCCTGAATTTAAGCACTCTCTGTTGTTAGAATGTTCCAATGTTCCATTATTATCAGCTTCACTATGATGCACATCTCTGAGTAAATCTTTGTGTACAGTTTTATTACTTCCTTAGCAGATGAATATTTAAGGCTCTGGTAACTACTGTCAAATCACTCTTCTCCAGAAAGGCAACTTACATTCTATCAGCAGGATATCATTAAGGTGCCTTAATGATATTTCATCTTGATTACATATTGATTTTTTAAAAAATACATGCTAATTATTACAAATTCAAACCCTACAGAAGTACATAAAATAAAAAGTGAAATTTTCCTTCTACCTTCACCAAACCTTTGGAATCTTATTCCCAGAGGAAAACACAAACAGCTTGGCATGCATCCTTCCAAATTAACTTTTTTCTAATAGAATTTTTTCCTAAATATGTAAAATGCTTCTAACCTGAAACTACTGTAGTTTTTTGAATACCTAGGATTAAGTATGTATAGGATCTATGTGAAGAAAATTATTAAACTTGGAGGAATTTTAGGGAAGAAAAAAAGACTTAAGTAAATGGAGAGACATACCACGTTCTTGGATGGGAAGATTCAAAACTGAAAAGACGACAATTCTCCCCAAATTTATCTCTAATTTTAAGCACAATCCCAATAAAAATTCCGAGTTTGGGGGGTTTTTTGTTTTGAACTTGCCAAAATGATTCTAAAGTACATCTGGAAGAATAAAGGAGCGAGAAAAGTCAGAAAGCTTGTGGAAAAGTAAAGAGGGAGTTACTTGCTTTACCAGATACTAACATGTGCCTCCAAGGTACAATAATGAGAACAGCATGGTGCTGGTATCAAAAGCCACTCACAAATCAATGAAAGAAAATAACAATTCATAAATAGATTAAAATAAATATAATAATTCTGTATATGAGATAGTTAACAAGTCAAAGCAGGAGGAAAAGTGTTTTTTAAAATCAGTGATTGGTACTGCTAACAATTTGGGGGGAAAAAGATTTCTACCCCATGTCAAAAAAAATTTCATCTGGATTAAAGAGCTAAACATTTTAAACAACAAAATCATAAAAATATTAAAAGAAAACATAAGTAAAAACTGATATAATTTGGTGATAAGGAGTTTTAACACCAAAAGCAGAAAGGCTGACAGAAGTGACTTCATAAAAATTAAATACTTCTACAAGGCAAGAAAAAGGAAACAACAGAAATTATTTGAAACATATGACAGATACTAGAGTAGTATCTCTAATATGGAAAGGGAATATTCCAAAGATAAATGGGCAAAGATCTTGAATAGGCAGTGAATAAAAGAAGTACAAATGGCCAGTAAACAAACAGAATTGCATTTGACATCACTTGTAATTAAATAAATGAAAATTAGAAGATGCCATATTTTTTCCTATCAAGTAGGCAAGAATTTAAAAGAATAAGTATAAGGAGATAAATCTTTTTTAAAATCTACCAATGGGAGTGTCATTTTGTACAACCTATCTAGAGGGCCATTGTGTAGAATGAAATTAGAAAATAGAGGTGAGGAAAAATGTACATCAAATGCTTGTTGTAGTGTTGTTTTAACAGATGTGTGTCAGAATGTCAAATGTGCATTGTCCTTGACCGAATTCCATCCTTAGAAATTTATTCCAAGGAAAAAGTCTCTACGCTAAGACCTGTATAAAAGAAGGTTCCTCACTATGCTGCTGTTCACAACAGTGAAAACCTGGAAATTCTAGTATGTCCATAGAATGGAATACTATGCAGCCATTAAAATTTTGATGTTTTTATTACTTCCTGAAATGGAAGGACAGTTATGTATTAAATGAAAAAGAAGTTATGGAACATGATCTATAGTTTTGGTTTAAAAAACTGATAAATATTTATTTATAAACATCAGCATACAAAAAAGGCTACAGAGCTATAGAGCTTAAGTCTAGATGATGGAACTGGGGTAATAATAGTTTTCCCTTGTTTTGCTGTGTGTTTACCAATGAATATATTACTTGAATAATAAAAATACTTAAGGGAAACTTTGTTTAGAAAATTTCAGTAGATGTTTTAGACAATATACAAGAATTGATAATATGGTCCATATTTCCTTGAATGTGTAACTTAAAAGTATTAACATATACATTTAAATATAAATTTTACCTTTTATAAGTCTTTTAATAGAGTCCAACTGTGTAACAAGCAGTATTTCTTCATATTTTAATATCTCGAATTTAACCTCGTATAGTTCTAATTGCACTTCATAGTATTGTATTTCTAATCCATCTACAACATTTATTCTTTTTTCTTGTTCTGGAAGATCTTCCATCTGGTTTTCATTAAACAAAAATAAGAGTGAGTAAAAATAATTAGTACATGAAAGGCAAACTTATAAGCATTCAAGTTATTTTCTAATCCTTGCTCAATATCAAATATTAAAAAAGCAAATAGAAAAGAAACATTTTTCCATTTCATTTAATGGAATAAAAATGCCTTCTTCAACATTTATTACAAATACTTTCTCTCATCCTTGACACATATGAAAACATTTAGGTTTTGAGAAAAATAAATGGCAATGAAGAATTTACAATGTCTTCTGCTTTAAAGTCATAATGTTACAGGAAAAAAACTAAGTGACTGATCCTAGGATGAAGCACCTCTTTGATTATTCTAAAATTGGGCTGAAACCATGGCTTGACTGACTTTCAAGTTATGTTACCTACTTCAGTACTGAGCTCAATGTTATGAAGTGAATCCTACAATATAACATTTCAAAAATATCCTGACCAAAGAGAAATTTCATAGCCAACCCTCCGTAGTCTCTAAATTCCCATCCACTAGAAGATGGTGTGGAATAAGCGAAGAAAGGAGCTCATTAACAATTCCTGGAAAGAAAGGTGCTACCTAAAATAAAACTATATTTTTAAAACAAACTTTCATTTTTCTCTGTCTCACCTTTCCCTGAATTTCAGCTCTTCTGTGATTTAAACACAATTCTTTGGCCCTCATGAGTTGCAGAGTCTCCCGGGCTAACATCAGCTTGAGTTTTTCTAACCTGGGAGTCGCTGTGGCCCAGGCAGCCTGGCCAAATCTCTTCTCATCCTGTTCCATTTGTTTCTGCATTCCTGTTGGATTATAATTAACAAAATAAAACGTAATTACAACTCATTAAAAAGAGAAAAATTTATCCTGAACGAATTCTTTATTGCCTCCCACGTTACCTACAGAACATCATTTTTTAAAAGAAAGGTATTTTAGGGATTTTATTGTCACAAAAATAATACACAGACATTGGTATAAAATTTTAGATACTTGATTTAAAAAAAAGAAAAATTTCTTCTGTATAGCACAGGGCATTATATTCAATATCTTATAATAACCTTTAATGAAAAAGAATATGAAAACGAATGTATGTATGTGTATGCATGACTGGGACATTGTGCTGTACACCAGAAACTGACACATTGTAACTGACTATACTTCAGTTAAAAGAAGAAGAAAAGAATCGTGAATCTCACGTGTAGCAATTGCTTCTTACATTTTGGTGCATATACTTCTAGACTGTTTCTGTGTCTAGCTAGACAGACAGGATGATAATAGTTTGGACAAAAAAACCCCACAGGACCATCATTCTGCTTTACATCTTATTTATTTCACTTACTGTATCATGCTTAATAGCTACATGTATTCCTCTTTATGCATGTATTATAATTTAACAAACTGATTGACAGACAATAAGTTGTTCTATTTGGCGCTACTATTGACAATGATTTAAGATAAGACAAAAGTCCTTCAGGCAGCTCAGAAGACCCACATGGTCTCATCCCTGCTTGTCTTGCCAGCACTCTCTCACACCACATTCCCTGTAGAGACATTCCTCAGAGACAATTCAGGTTTAGTTCCAGACCACCACAATAATGCAAAGATCACAACAAAGTGAGTCATACAAAAGTTCTGGTTTTGCATTACATAAAGAAGTCATGTTTACGCTATACTGTGGTCTATTAAGTGTGCGATAGCATTAAGTCTAAAAGCACAATGTACATACCTTAATTTAAAAATACTTTATATTGAAAAATGCTAACCATCATCTGAATCTTCAGTGAGTTGTCATCTTTTTGGAATAATAACAAATATCACTAATTACAGATCACCATAAAAAATATAATACTAATAAAGAAATTTGAAATATTAGGAGAATTACCAAAACGTGACATAGAGACACAAAGTAAGCAAATGCTGTTGGAAAAAGGCACTTGCTGTTTTATAACAGACTTGCTCAATGCAGGACTGTCACAAACCTTCCATCTGTAAAAACCACATTATCTGTCAAGTGCAGTAAAGTGCAGCACAATAAAACAAGGTGTCCCGGGACTGTGCTCCAGCCCCCGGGTTTTCTGTAAGTTCCTCACGCTGGCCAAGCCGCCGCAAACCAGAGGGCCTCCGGAAACGCTGCTACTCCTCTCTGGAACATTCTTCCCTCACTTTTTTGCTCTCTCCACCTCCGTTTACCCTTCAGATATCAGGGCAAGTGCCGCTTCTCAGAGGCCTCCACTGACCACTCTGATTGAGCCTAATTTCTCTCTCACAGGCTCTCAGAGCCCCATGTTTCTCTTCTTCGTGTGGCTTTTTGTCACTGCCATTTTCCGTGTGTTCGAATGAATATATACTTAAGACTTCTCTCCCCTCACCCGACTGTACAGTGTCTGCTTATGCTTATCCTTCTATTGAATCCCCAGTACCTAGAAAATACAGTACCTGCTGCTTAAGAAGCACTCAAATGTTTTTTTTTAAATAAAATGAAAGTCACATGTATCTTAGTGTAGCATTTTAAATTATTACCTGCTAATGCCTTTACTGTTTCTTCAAAATAATTGACTGTAATATGTTGAATAGAGACGACAGCTTCTTCAGCCCGTCTGGTCCATTCCTGGGCTTCCTTCTGCAGGGCAGCTATCCTTTTGGGACCCAGATCGTCCTCATCCAAGGACTTCTATAGAAAGAAGGGAAAGCTGTATTAGTAAGAGACAACAGTAATGGAGAGCCATTAGGAGACTGAAAGAAACTGGTCACATGGATTATTTAAACCTACTTTTGCTACTACGGCTTAGTAAGGTAAATTATATTCATTCAGCAGTTCCTGACTGAGGATGAATAAAGCTCTAAGTGGGCATCCTCTGGGAGACAAAGGGATACTCTGGAGCATAAAGAAAAGAAACCCTACTTTTACTTTGCATTACTAGAATAACTTAGTAGGAAGTTAGAAGGGAATGCTGTCAAGTTATGGTTCTCTATTAATAATAATACACAGTAGTTTGAAAGAGATCTGTGTTGTTATGCACTCAGCATAGAGCCTAGTACATGGCAGTCAAGTGTTAGCTGTCACTATGGTTCCTTTTAAGGACACGGCAGGAAGCTTTTCAATACCGTGATTCTTTTCTGAAGGTACTGTATTACTTTCTGGAAAGTTATACAGTAACCTAAAACATGTGTGATTATGACATGTCCTATGTCATCTAGTATTCAATTATTCTTCTACCAAGCATGATTGAGTGATATAAGAAACATACACGGGTTAGCCATCAGGGAAATGTAAATCAAGACCACAATGAGACACTGCTTCACATCCACTAGGATGGCTATAATCAAAAAGACAGACAATAACAGTTTCGAAAATCACGTGGACAAATTGGAACCCTCGTTTACTGGTGGGAACGTGAAGTGGTGCATTTGCTTTGGAAAATAGTCCGGCCGTTTGTCAAAAGGTTGAAGAGTTACCATAAGATCCAACGATCCCACACCTAAGTATATATCCAAGAGAAGTGAATATGTGTGTCCACATATAAAGTTGTATGCAAATGTTCACTGCAGAATGATTCATAATAGCAAAAGAGTGGAAAAGTCCAAATGCCCACCCATCGCTAAATGTATATGTAAAATGTGCTATATCCATATAATGAATATTATTTGACAGTGAATAAAATCAAGTTCTAATACATGCTACAACATGGATGGAACTTGAAAACAGTGATGCTCCATGAAAGGACCCAGACACACATGATTCCAGACAATCTGAAGTGTCCAGAATAGGGAGATCTAGAGGCAGAAAGCAGATGGGTGGTTGCCTAGGGTTGGGGGGAATGGGGAGTGACTATTCATGGGGCTTCTTTTTGGGGAGAGGAGGATGTTCTGGAATTAGACAGCAGTGGTGGCCACACAACTGTGAATATACTAAAAACCAATGAATTGTACACTTCAAATAGATGAATTGTATGGTCTGTGAATTACATCTCAATAAAGCTGTTATTTAAAGAAAGAAAAATATATACGCAGAGTAAAGACAATCCAGATAATACTTTCAAAATAACGAACAGAACAACTGTCTCCACAGGTTAGGCTGGGATGACATATTTCATCTAAACATGATACCATTTTTACAGTACAGTAGCCCGGCAGGGGTCACAAGCGCCTGTGCGGAAGGATGGCCCAGCGCAGGGGACAGAGATCAGAGATCTCTCTGCTGTCTTCTGATTCCAGCTGGTTGAGACCCACAGAAAGCAGTTACGCTAACTAGCTATCTAGATTCATTTGTAACACTGGAATGGTAACACTTACTCTAACTAGTCTCATAAGGTTGTTTCACGGCTCGATGAAACAAGAGCGATGACAGCACTTACTAAAGTTTAATTTACTGAATTACAACCCCAGCCCTTTCTACTTAAATTTTTATCCTATTTCTTAGAAGTTTGCCCGTTCCTTAGAAGCTGAAAATAAGCTAAAGTGAGCAAGCATCACATCAAAAATAAGTCATTGGCAAAGAAAATCTGTAGAAAAATCTTGCAGAAATCTTGAAAAAACTACAAAAATCTGAATGTATTAAGAAAAGGACCAGTGCAGAATGTCTTCATTTAAAATCAATTTTAAAAAATAAATTGGGTCTATCTACAATATGATCTAAACCTAAAAGTGAACCCAAAGGGGAAACACAGATTGAATCTCCAATGTGACAAAGGAAATCTTATGTCATAAACAGTAAATCCGATAGCGTAAAAATATAAAGAAAACGTACCAAAATAGCAAGCTTACATGAAGTTGCAAGTTCTCGCATATCCCTGAATGGCTGCAGTAAATACTGGAAGAACATGGTTGCCACGGTAACGAATTCCTGGTATGCTTCATCTTCCTCTTGATACACTTTCATCAGTGCTACCATGGTGTGGGCTTTTTCATGCCCTTGAAGCACCTAGAAGACAAAATGTAAATAAAGCTCAAGTATGGACAGTGTTTGTACGTTCATACCAAACAAAGCTCAAGGAATCTGAATGTTCTAAACTTGAAAGCATCCGCTTAAAATACTGATTAAATAAGAAAATGCTATTTTCCTCAACCAAAATGCCCAGTAAGAATGGTTAAATAAATCATGGGGTAGAATAGTATTACTATAATCATTGACCACTGTGCTTTTTGAGGACTGTTTAGTAACCTGGGGACTTGTATAATCATAAATAGGGGGGTGAAGGGGGAAGTGGAGTTGAAAATTTTATCTCAACTGTGTACTAAGTACTCAGAGAAAAGGACCTGAAAGAGTCAAAAATTAACAACTATTATCTCTAGGTTGTAAATTGAGGATATTTTTCCATCACTTTTTTGACCATAAAGGTTTTGTGAGGCTGGACTCCTTTTTTGAAAGCTCATAAAGAATAGATATGCCTCCACGTATTTCTCCAGCATGTTGACTCTCTTAATTCCCCAGGTTAATATTGCCACGAGCCCCAACCAGCACTGTAGACTCATTTTCAGAGTCACAGATGTGGCTCTACACTCTGCAGAGTGCTTCTTCTGAGGCAGGGGAGAAAATAAACTGAGCATTTATAATCTAGATAAACTCATTTTGTAAGAAATTATCTTACTCTCCAGGAGAAGAGAAACAAAATCAAGTAATAGTATAGATTTTTTTCAATCAATACATCCTTAAATTTTTCTATTTCCATCCCTCTACTTAAGGATAAAGTGATCTATGTTCAGCTGTGGTTTTATCCAGGTGATAATAGCAGTATTTTTTTAAGAAGCAAAAGTTTTCCTGAAGAAAATTAAAACACACAAAAAAGTAAACTTAAGACAATAGATACTTTTCAGTCTTATTTCTTAAACTGTTCAGAAAAATTCAAACATTTGGCTTCACTTTATATATACTAGCAATATTAGCAACTGGTCTAATTCTAGAATTAACTGCTTTTCTATTCTAAACATGAGCTGAGTTTTAAGATAATTATATACACTTTCACGGAGCCAGGATACTTTGTATTTAAGCTCTCCCTCTACCCGCCCTTTTTAAATTCCAGGTAAACATGTGAACTACACTAGTGTGAATAGCTAATTTAACAGCATGAATTATACTAGTGCAATCACCTCTCTGAATGGACTTTTCTATGTATAATTTTTCCAATAGTAACATACATGCGAGTTTAAGGGAAAAAACCACTTCTCTCTGTGAGAAAGCAGGTGTGTAAAATAAAAGTCTTTTTCAGAATGACAAAGTTGAAGATCAACGGTCGACTGGCCTGAAACTGCCTTTGTGGTTTTCCCTCATAAAGTGAAAACAACCCATGAAAAGTGGGTGCAAAGTTTTCTTCAGGAAAACTTTTGCTTGAGAGGATATGATTAAGATTTTGAAATGGTACTGAATTCTTTTCGTACAGCTTCCCTTCCTCGAATGGGACAATCATTCAGATTAAGAACGGCCTCTGATGGGAAAGGACAAGCAAGAGGCATGGGTGGGGTGCAGGACAGAGCACTAAATCGTGGCTAAGGAAGGTCAACTAGCTGTGGATAGATGAGCCATATTTTCTCTTAAACCCTTTTGTGAATTTGTAACCTTCCTTCCCTTAACTTCTGTAAGCTTACCACTCAGAAAATGAATTGCTCAGTGTCTCAAATTGCTTCCTTCAAGCTTAAAATTGCTCTCTTGTTGCTGCTATTCCAAAATAATGGATTCAGTTCACATCCTGTGGCTTTCCATTTGACCGAGTCTTTATGACTCAAAAAAAACCTGTCTCCTGGAAGCCCCTTCATTCTCTGTAACATTTTGTCTTCGTTATTGGTCATCCCTCACACACAGAACCTGGCGTTGTTTACATTTAGTCCGTGTTGAAATTTTCTACACAGATGGGATATTGCTAGTTTTTCTTTCAGTATTTTCTGGCATTTCCTGTTACAACAGCCTGCTCTGCCAGTATTTTCAGGGTAAAGGTTCAAGGGCCTACACTGCCTCGCAACTACGAGAAAACGTTGATGTAACTTAGTCCTCTCAACTCGGCCCCACGCGGCTTCCGCAGAATCCCCCTAGCTGCTCCGGGACAGGTGAAGGGCACCTGCGAGGCTGCGCATTCTGCGTGTGCATCACACGGTTAAGCTGCAGCTGCCCAGCATCGGTCTGCGGAAGGACCCCAGTCGCGCTCGCCCACCCTCGGAAAGGGCCTGAGGCACAACCACGCGGGAGGACTGGGCGCCTGCCCCACGCGCGTGCGTGCGTGCGTACCTGGCGCAGCCGTGCGCCCGCCTCGTCCCTCCGCGCG